ATATTTCTATTTTTTGTGTATCTTGTTGTTTGGAGGGGGGGGGGGCAAGGGGAGAACCCGGTCCCGGTCGAATCTTAGTGACCGGATACCCGGACCCGATATTCAGCCACATTTTACTACCCGTAGATCCCTAGATTTAAGTATTTAATTTATATCTCCCTCTTAAACACATTTTGGTTAAATACCAATAGACGAACAATAACGGATGATATATATATAAAATAAAGGATATATATATATATATATATATTATATATATTATCGGTAAAACCTTCCTTGATGAATATAACAATAAGCCTTTGAAGCACCAGTGCAAAACAAATACTGTTTTGTTGAAGCCAGCGTTAACTTTCATGCTCTGTTGCTTCGTTTATGACAAACATTTTGAACATTTATTATTCATTTTTATTTACAAAACTAACTTTCTAAAGCCGCAAATTAGTTTCATACTATTTAATTATTAGTGCAATTTTACTTTTCGAAAACACACACCATTTATCATAACTCCATATCTGGGATCAGAATGGTGTACCAACACCAATAAGTACCACTTTTAGTGCCACGTGCTTCATTTGACAATCGCTATACCAAAAGGATTCTAGTTCTTGCGCTAAACACCGTTAAAACGTCTCCAGTTTAATACATATGTTAAGAAGTAGCACATATTCAGACACAAAAACTACTGTATTTAAAAATCTGATAAACTTAACCACAACAAGTTTTATGGACAGCAATCTATCCTTTTCCTACATAAGGTATCGTTTCACTTTCAATGAATTTCTCATTTTCAAAAACTTGATATCTCGTGCTTAATGTCAAGTGGTGAAATTCAAAAAACTTTCCAAAAAATGAAACTTAAAAATTGACAAAAAAAAAAGAAGTAAAGAAGCAGGAATTAGCATTGGATTGAAACCTAGAAAAACACCATCCGCAACCACTACACACATGTATACAGTGTTTTATTCTAGTTAACATGAAGGATAACTAACGTGAGTAATGTTAGATGTAAGGAATGTACTTTGAGCTATTTTTTTTTATTATGAATATGACCATATAACTTTGCTCAGTAGGCCTGCGCCCCCCCCCCCAGTGGCACAGCAGTATATCTGCGGAATTACAACGCTAGAAACCGGGTTTCGATACCCGAGGTGGGCAGAGCACAAATAGCCCATTGTGTAGCTTTGTGCATAAATTCAAAAACAAACAAACAGCAGGTCTGCACGTGTCAGACTCCATGGTCTATCGTTCCTCTATGTTTCATCAATCTTACTTTATTTAGGCCTTATTTTAACGAAGAAGTTTGAACAAGTCTGAATATACTAGTAGCTTAGTGTAGATTATAGGACAAATCTGTTTTAAACAGTGTTGAAAATTACAAATGATGTTAAATTCATACAGTTGTTGTTGGACAGGGGGTTGCCTATATTTAATGTGTTGTTCTGCATAGAGGAAGGTTCGAGCTGCGGAATTTTCTACTGTGAAGGTTTTATAACTGTGACAGACAATCTCGCTATTCGGTTAAGAGTGGCCGTGTGGCCAACGGGCGCTGCTGATTGGTTCCCTTTCCATTTGGTCAGCATTTCTAAATTAAGAATGGCTGTCCCTGAACCTTGGTTTCAAAGACTAAAATACTTACAACTATTAATTTTGTGCAAAATCAAGTTATTCTGACGATATGTTGATCACGTCAAGATCGATTTTCGAATCAACTTACAATGCAAGAACTCGTCCATCACAATACTTCAGACTACTTGGAATTCGTCCCTCACAATACTTCAGACTACATGGAACTCGTCCATCTTATTGTTGAAATAAATGGGAAGTATCTATGAGCAACATAAAATCCGCTTGCATGGGTGCACATGGTAGATTATGCAATATAAATTGTTATATAATACATAATGTGATAGACACAAAGGCTAGTATCATTTGAATTTTTACCATGAAGCTGAATAAAGTGGAGAGAGATCTTGGAACCGCCTCTAAAGTCGTTAAAATAAAAATATTCTAACATCAGCATGGTGCACAACGTAATTACCCGTTACTTTTGAAAAACGAATTTTGTTCAGAGTTTTTCCATAATGGTTCGATAATTTTGATTGATTTTCAGAAGGTAGAGCAAGTTATATTAAAACAAATTTGAATATGCAACTTAGCAAATCACGTGACAACCACAGCCAATATAAAGCTGCGGTGGAATAGAATGTATCAGAACTACATTTTGACGTTGTTTGGCGCTGCGTAGGTAGTGTGATGCCACCGATAATTGATGGCTTTAGAGAAGGGTATGTAACAGTACTTTAATGTGCGAAAACAATCATGCACTCAGATCATAAAGATGCATTCAGATTGGAGTTTTAGGACTTCCAAGATTGGTATATCCCTTGTGCGTTAACGTACAGGAAAACAAAGTAATATGACAATCCAGAAAGAGATCTGAAACAAGTCGTACCCCAGCCGTAGTAAATAAAATATGGCGTACTGTAACAGGTGATAAGAATCAATGGCGAAAGCCGTCCACGTGTCCAGGCAACTTTACGCATATAATCAAGAAGAATCTATGTCTGGGAAAGCGACGTAAGTCACTTATGTACTTAAACTGGTTTTGAGTCAACATCTTCGATTAACTCTAAAATGCATTAAAATAGTCAAAATATTGTGTGCATATTTCTATAAGAGTTTCAGGAAATACTTTTGCATTTCATGTCTTACTTTCTTACTCAGGTGATTATCCAGTTTTTATAGCACCATCTGTTACCGTCCCGAGTCCGAACAAAAGTGGCAATAAAATATATTTTTTAATTTATAGTCAAACAGAATGTTTTTTCTTTTATTTTTTTGTAAAAGCAGAGGTTTCAAGAAATAATTAATATGTAATATCTACTTTTTCTAGGTGATTTTATTCCTTCTATATAATTATAGTACATACAAGTAAATGTTACTCCAAGTATGGACCCGTTGTTTATTAAAGTCTTCAAAGAATAATATATCTTCGTGTTAACTAATGTTTGAGTAATGTCGGTTTACAATAATATTGTACTGATATGATATTAGATGAGGATTTGAAAGTAAGTTGTTTTTATAACTTAACAACACCAGATGCAACAACTGCTGTAGTATAACTAACTTATATGACATGTCTCTGTACAAGTGTTTGAACGGTGATAATTATTTTACTATTTGCGTATACTAAATCTGTATGTTATGTTTCAGATAACGGAGTGTTAAGTTTTGCCAATCCTAACTTCCACCTCGATCCAGCTGACATTAACAGTAATCCACAGCCAACTCTTGAACCATCGGACTCGGATGATCGCATGTACGACAAGTTGGATGCTGGTCACGCACGTGGACGAAGTCAAGAAGAGTCACAAAATGAGGAGTCTTTGGATTACAATCTGAATTCCACGTCTGGTAGAACAGAAACAGTCATGGCAAACCCAGATTTAGAGAGTAACGCGTAAGTTGATTTTTTTTTATCAATTCGTTGTTTGGATGAATGTGAACGTCTTACCTACTTATTTGCAGCAGAGCTTCCACTAACTAAATAAAAACCAAACTGACCTAAATATAAATAAAAGTAATAGAATGTTACAAACAAATAAGAAGTATGACGTCAAACTATGTTTCGATTGGCGAAGTGATTGCGTGAATGTAAATATTAATAAAAGGAGTAATTTAAGAATAGAAGTCAGATTAGGGTGACCAAACTTTTGAATTGTAAATCTAACATACACTCAGATTTTTTAACCTTAAAATTGGGGCCCTTTTTTTATAAGGAAAATCATAAACAACCAATTACGCAAATAAGAAACATCATTAAGTGAAAAATATTTTTAATTACATCATTATTACTACATATACCCCTCTGGAGAGTAAGTTTTTTTTTTCTAACAACTGCTTATTGGCCAGGTGTTTGTCGTAAAATTCTGAGCATCTGTCATTCGTGTTCACCCTTGACTTATTTTAAATAAATGCTTCGCGACTTAAAAATCGAATATCGGTTGTAAACAGCACCTGTCATTGGCATTCGCCTTTCTCTCTTTGTTTGACGGGTGCAAACTTAAGCGTTCAATGACTTGTGCACTCATGTCGTCTGCTGCAGCCTACCTTATAGCCAACTTCTGAGGAAGGTTTTGTTTGTTTTTGTACCATTTCGCGCAAAGCTACTCGAGAGATATGTGAGCTAGCTATCCCTAACTTAGAAGAGATAGACTAGAAGGAAGGCAGCTAGACACCACCACCCACCGTCGACTCTTAGGCCATATCGGGTCCTCAAAGAAAACAACAAAGGATATGTTGAGTCATTCGTTACTGTGAGATAATTTCCCTATTTAGCTATAAAAAAAAACTGTACCTGTTGATTCACGATTGTTAGAGGCTCAAAGTGCTGAAAATAAATATGAAAATTTTAAATTACTGGTAAAATGAAAACCGGGATAGTTAGGCATCCCAAAAGGATCTAACGGGACACCTGGAGAACAATCTAAAAACCAAGATGTCTTGTCACCCTAAGTGGGGTGCAATATATTTTTTTCTAGTCATGTAGAGTTTAATGCAGATTTGTCTCAGATCCGTTTTAGCCCCCCAATGGCACAGCCGTATGTCTACGGACTTATAACGCTAGAATCCGGGTTTCGATACCCGTGGTGGGCAGAGCACAGATAGCCCAATGTGTAGCTTTGTGCTTGATTACAAACCAAAAAAAAAAAGATCCGTTTTAAATATGTCAGAGAATTATTTACGTACATTCTTTTTCCAATTAGTGATTATAGTTTTACATCTGTATGAAAAGGTTTCTTCTAATATTAAAAAAAGCTGAAATATATTTTGTTTTAGAAAAAGAAAGTTAAGTCTTAATGCTTAAAATGATGTCTAATGATTACTCATCTCAAAGCTTGTATAATCTTACAAATATTTGGCAAGACTCAATAGCACATTCTGACGTGACATAGATAGCCAGATTAATAAATGTATTTCATCATTAAACAGAAGCAGTACAGCTTGCAAGAAAACTTCAGAATCCGTGAATAACAGATCTAATGAAAGAAATTCCAACGAGAACGTGACGATAAAAAAAACCAACGGTTTACTGGAATATTACTTGAGTCTGGAAGCCGCTGTGAGACAACAGCAAGAAGCCAATCAGAAAGAAGCAGAAGAAGAGCTGAAAAAAAGGAATGGTAACAATAATGAATTTATGAAAGCAGAAAACTCAGCGAGGTGAGAGTGAAAAAGTACAAGTATTGTATAGGAATTATTAACTTTCACGTATCCGTTTACATTTCATAATTATATGCTTACAGAATTGCCTAATACATTAAATTATATATTTTTTTATTCAATAAGAACGTACAGGGTGGGGTAAAAATATTATACAGTTGGTATTATACGGTTGGTACAGTTGGTATTATCTGGTTGGTGCAGTTGGTACAGTTGGTATTATACGGTTGGTGCTAAAGTAAATATTGCGACGACAATTGAAAGCAATTCAAACATTGTTGGTTACAGAGAAGACAATAGAAATTAAACAAAATTATAGTTACTTTTGTCCCACCCTATATATATTTGTTTCGTTAGTTTAAAGCGAATAGTGATTATTGCTGTATGATACATGTTTATCACTGGTGAAAAAAATGCACACGATAAACTTGTATTACAAAACAACATATGACTTTCTACGTTATCACTACTAAAGTCTCACATAACTTTCGTGGTTTCTTAACTTACTTGGTATATTTAAAAAGTAATTTAATAATTACTTGGTATAAGTAATGAATAATGTATTATTTTAGGCGCCCAACAAGCCACAGGCTTGTACTGATTATTTTTCTACACACAACCGTTGATAAAACGTAGTATGGTTCGTTTATGCTTTCCTTTGCATATATAACAGTGTTTTATTTTGCTATATTTTAAACGTTGGAAATGATTCTATTATAAAGCATGCTTTCTACTGCATTAAGTATGGACGATTAGCTCCCGTTTCAGAAATGTTGCAACGCAGAAGCTTCTAGCAGCGTCTCAAAGCCATAAGGAAGCAAATAGAGATGTTCCACTTACAGAGGGCGTTGTCAGTAAAGATTCATGTGCCACTGAGGTTAAACGACGGTCACACCCGTCACCTGACAAACCTTCAGCCGAAAAACAAGATTCTCCTTCAGATGGGTCTCTTGACGCGGAAGAATCTAACACATATGTCGCTTTTAAAGACGATCTGCTCCCACCTGGCTGGGAGAAACACGAGGGTAAGATAATATAATATAGCTTAATTTGTTTTGGGCTGAAAATAAGAAAGTTGCTGTGATGAATTCCGGAAAACTTTGGAAAATACATCGTTAATTCCACTTCTTTTTATACCTTATGAATTAATTTCAAATAAATGAGAATTGTTTTACTTGAATGAAAGTTGTTTTCTATTTTAGCAGACATTAATGTGTTATGATGATAACCGAATACTGAAAGAACTAAACGATTTCTACAAAATAACATCCATTGTGCAATAGCAAGTGATTTACTAACAACGTGGCTAAACTACAGTTATCTTATGAACAAAATAATGTGCCGATTTTGAAAGATTGTTTTCAGGATGGTCAGATTACTGCTCATTTTTATTTAACTTTCAACCGAGCTGGTATGATGAAAAAAAATACCCTGACCACCAGAGTAACCGCTATTTCGGTATCCATGTTCTGAGATAGTCACGGAATAGTTTGCTGCCTGATGTAAACATAGTGTGATGATCTGAGATAGTCACGGAATAGTTTGCTGCCTGATGTAAACATAGTGTGATGATCTGAGATAGTCACGGAATAGTTTGCTGCCTGATGTAAACATAGTGTGATGATCTGAGATAGTCACGGAATAGTTTGCTGCCTGATGTAAACATAGTGTGATGATCTGAGATAGTCACGGAATAGTTTGCTGCCTGATGTAAACATAGTGTGTTAAATGGTTTGCTTTATGTTTCTAAAAGAAAACTGTCATTGTACAAAATAACAGTTAATAATGAATCTAGACTACAGACTACGTTACATTGTCCATATAGACAAATCAACGGTGCTGTTTCCGTTTCCAGATGAAAGTGGTCCTTACTATTGGCACATCAACAGCGGGAGTATTCAGAGGCAGCCACCCCCGCCAACAGTGCCTCCTATGATTAACTACAGCACTAAGCCAAAACGGTCATCTCTTGACCTGGAATCTGTTTGGAACCCTGTAAGTAATGTAAACAGTCATTTCTTTATCTGGAATCTGTTTCGAACCCTGTAAATAATATAAACAGTCATCTCTTGACCTGGATCAGTTCGGAACTATGTAAGTAACGTAAACAATCATATCTTTACCTGGATAACTTTGGGATTCTATAAGTAATCTAAACGGTCATCTCTTGACCTGGATCAGTGCGGAACTATGTAAGTAACGTAAACAATCATATCTTTACCTGGATCAGTGCGGAACGATGTTAGTAACATAAACAATCATATCTTTACCTGGATAACTTTGGGATTCTATAAGTAATCTAAACGGTCATCTCTTGATCTGGAGTCTGTTTGGAACCCTGTGAATAATCTAGAAGTAATTCTCATGTCACAAACTAATAACTATAATTTTGGAAGTGTGTTGGAATACGTTGCTTTTGTAGAAAATTAAAATTATTTCTAACTTACGTATTTCCGATAATTTTTGCCATGTTTTCATACTGCAATAAAACAAAAACATTACCCCTAAAACTTCGTTGTGATTTCTTCGTACAAGTGATGAAATATTTATACTTTAAAGCCCGGTGTAACTTGCTTATTATATTATAAATAAGTAAGGGAGAAATAAATCTATTTTAACCAATGTGCCATCTTAAAGTTTTGTTAAATTATCTTTACAGTTATCTAGTCTAACAACACCATCTCCTCCTTCGGCTAAACCGTTTGAAGAAGTAAATAGCTCTGGACTGACTCGACGTCAAGAGAACCAGTTGAAGTGCGTGTAATTATGTATTGAATTGACAACTCTTACTGCAAGATCTCACATAAGTAGCTCGTTCTTTTATCTTCCCTAAATCTCTTAAAACATGACGTGGGAAAATTGTTTCTTTCCAGTTTCTTAAGTCCCGTACATTTTTTTTCCTTCCATTTCGTTTGTTTTGAATTTCTACGCTAGCCGTCCCTAATTTAGCAGTGAAAGACTAGAGGGAAGGCTAGCCGTCCCTAATTTAGCAGTGAAAGACTAGAGGGAAAGCAGCTAGTCATCACCACACCCACTGCTAACTCGTGGGCTACTCTTTTACCAACGAATATTGGGATTGATTGACACATTATAACACCCCCCATGGCTGAACGGGCGAGCATGTTTGATGGGACAGGGATTCGAACCCGCGACCCCTCAGATTGCTAGTTAAGCGCCCTAACCATGCCTGGCCCTTGCATTTCGTACTGTGTTTAATAGTAATGTCTTCTAATTTTGTTATCTAACCTTGATATGATGGTTTACGTTTCAGTTTTGTTTCCATCTCTTTCAACACACTTTATTTCTCCTGTCGATATCTCTGTTGTACAACTTAGAAAATTATTGTTATGAATATTGATTTATAACTTATAAACTTATTTGTTTCCAACTTTCAAATTAAACATCACATTCTGACCGTTGTTTATTCTGTTGTATTTCTGACTCTCTCTACATCTTTGTTCTTATATGCTTTGTTTATTTGTCTGTTACCACGATTTTAGCGTTGTAAATCTGTCAACCTACCGCTGTTCCACAGGGGGACCTCTTATATGCTAATACTACAACACATAGGTATATAAGCTGTTAAGAACAATAAAATTTGACTTTACGTTTACGTATAATTTTATTTCCCGAAACGTAGACCATATTACTTTCAAAGTTTACGTGTAATTTGATATCCCAAAGATCATATTACTATCAAAATTTACGTATAATTTGATTTCCCGAAATGTAGACCAAATTACTTCCAAAGTTTAGGTGTAATTTGATTTCCCGAAGACCATGTTACTATCAAAATTTACGTGTAATTTGATTTCCCGAAACCTAGACCATATTACTTTCAAAGTTTACGTGTAATTTGATTTCCCGAAGACCATGTTACTATCAAAATTTACGTGTAATTTGATTTCCCGAAACGTAGACCAAATTACTTTCAAAGTTTACGTGTAATTTGATTTCCCGAAACGTAGACCAAATTACTTTCAAAGTTTACGTGTAATTTGATTTCCCGAAACGTAGACCAAATTACTTTCAACTTTTAACTCGTTAATTCTGAAAAGTGACGTTTGTGTGCATCAGCACCCTATCATTCCACCCCATGCTTACTCGAAATCCACCGGAGATATAATAATCGCCTTGACATCATCGATCCACCGGTGTATTGCATGCCGTGATCTACTGATCATGTTAATTTAATCATCAGTGACTTAATGTTCTCTCGCCTTCACATTTCTCTGCGAAGTAAAAAAGAATGCATTAGAGTTGTCAAAATTAACTATTTCGTTGAGCATACTACATGCGCAAATAATTCCATCTGAGGTACTGACAACAGAAGCAAATTTAAGAAAAATAAGTAAATCATGTTTACAATATTAAATGGAAATGTAAGTTAATTATTTTCTCTTGCAGAGAACAAGATATCTCAAGTTATATGTCAACTCAAAGTACAATTCTTTGTTGTTGTTTTGCAATTTCTGTAGCATTTTCAAAGTTTATTGTTCATCTTAGGCAAGGTAATGTGTAAATCGAACGTGCTCGCCCTTTCAGTCGTAGGAACGTTATAATGTGACGGTCAATCCTACTACTCGATTAGAGTGGCCTAAGAGTTGGCGGTGGATGGTGTTGACTAGACACCTTCCTTCTTGTTTATCATTTCCAAATTAGAAGCGGCTAGTACAGATAACCATCGAGTAGTTTTGCGCGAAATTCAACAAAACAAACAAGTCGTGATACCATAAACTCCAAAAATAGGCCCGGCATGGCCAGGTGGTTAGGGCGCTCGACTCGCAATCTGACGGTCGAGGGTTCGAATCCCTGTCACACCAAACATGCTCGCCCTTTCAGCCGTGGGGGCGTTATAATGTGACGTCAATCCCAATATTCGTTGGTAAAAGAGTAGCCCAAGAGTTGGCAGTGGGTGGTGATGACTAGCTGCCCTCCCTCTGGTCTTACACTGCTAAATTAGGGACGGCTAGCGCAGATAGCCCTCGTGTAGCTTTGCTCGAAATTCAAAACAAACAAACCATAAACTCCAGTTCGTTTTTCTTGTCGTCTTTGCTTTCTGCTACGTATCAAAAACTTCAAATATTTTATCCCTTATTTACGAATAATTTGATTAATTGTGTTAACGAATGTTTTTTCTGATGTTTTATGTACAGCAATTTTAAATCTACAAATATCTCCAACATTATTAACTGATCTTCTCCAATACATAAACTATACTATGATTCTAAAATGTGTTAAACATCTGAAAAACTTCGCTGAAAAAAGTGAAACGTCTTGATTTATGATTTCTTTTAAGTTACTATAGAGATGTTGAAACGTTTTCAGAAGTTTTTGGGCATTAGTCAAATCTCTTTGTCAAATATGTTAAGTTTAGTACATAATTTATTACTCAATTTTTGAACAAACTGGACAAATCACTAGGCAAGATAAAATGCGCGCAGGTGCTATTATTTTCTAAAGGTTACTCTAGAATTTTGTATTGCATTTGAAATCAACAATAAAACACCAAACTGCATATCTTTTATAATCAGGCTACTCATGCTTAATCTTCCAAACTTTCATTTCAAATTATTATTGCAGCTTAAGTTATTTTCTTCCCCATTATTACATTAATTTACAATAAACACATTAAGTACATGTGTTGTTGTATTAGCAATGAAAATTTTACATGGAAAAAAATTACGTTTGTTTGCATGCGCTTCAGGTTTCATTATTGCACATTTTCTACATCTTACGTTAAACCACTGTCATTACTTTCTTTTACCTGAATTGTACTAAACTGTTTAAAATTAGCAATAGATAAGTAAACGACAACCGTTTCTTTTCAAGTTAACTTCAGTCAAAATAACAATATCATTACCTTAAACAAAACTTGAGTCCAGTTTCCTTAAAAGATACGAAAATATTACAACTACCAAAATAAGAATATCATTACCTTAAACAGAATCCGAGTCCAGTTTCTTTAAACGTTACGATAATATTACAACTACCGAAATAAGAATATCATTACCTTAAACAGAATCCGAGTCCAGTTTCCTTAAATGATACTATAATATTACAACTACCAAAATAAGAATATCATTATCTTAAACAGAATCCGAGTCCAGTTTCCTTAAATGATACTATAATATTACAACTACCAAAATAAGAATATCATTATCTTAAACAGAATCCGAGTCCAGTTTCCTTAAACGTTACGATAATATTACAACTACCGAAATAAGAATATTATCACCTTAAACAGAATCCGAGTCCAGTTTCTTTAAACGTTACGATAATATTACAACTACCAAAATAAGAATATCATTACCTTAAACAGAATCCGAGTCCAGTTTCCTTAAACATTACGATAATATTACAACTACCAAAATAAGAATATCATTACCTTAAACAGAATCCGAGTCCAGTTTCCTTAAAGTTACGATAATATTACAACTACCGAAATAAGAATATCATTACCTTAAACAGAATCCGAGTCCAGTTTCCTTAAAAGATACGATAACATTACAACTATCAATCGTCGTTTTAACGATTAGCGAATGTTATTGCATCTTCTACATTTGAAGACATTGGCTTGAACACCTACACGCATTTTTCAACCCCAAAAAATCGCAAGTATTTTAATTACTTTATCAAAATCGTTGTTGTCTTCAAGTGTGATTTCAACGATTTTCTCACTCTCTTTCATTTCTAACCAGAAATGCATTTTATAATGTATTAAATATTCTTGTCTGTTCATTTATCAATTTAAAAAAACCATTCAGACTTCTTTATGCACTTTAACATATAAATATTTAAATGATTTAATCAATTTGAAGGATTATGGTATTAATAAACATATTACTACTAAATGACCTGCTAAACTAGAAATGGACAATAAGACAATGTGTGATATTAAAACTCGTGATTTAGACACAAATATTACCCGTGTGGGCACAGCACATATAGCCCATTGCGTAGCTTTACGCTTAACAGGAACGAAAACCAAACTAAAAGACACAAACATGATTAATAGTACTGATGGTATAAACATTTTTTATAAGCGTCGAGAATATTCTTTCTAAATCTGTAAACTCCTTCACCTGCTAATAACATTCATTCATCTTTATGTTAAATCCGGGGCTTAATTCCTCGCTATGGCTAGAACGCAGATAACCTACCGCGTGGCTTTGCACTAAAACAAAAGAAACCATCTTTACAACAACTAGTCGGTGAATTATATGTCACATTTAATACAATGGCTAAATAAGTTACAATAGGCAGTAAATTAAGGCCTTAGTAAATAAACAAACAATAACATACCAAAACAGGAACTGAGGTTTAAAAGTGAGACAGATATTTTTAGAGAAGGTTCTACACCCCCCACCCACCATACTCCTAAGACGTACAATGTAGTCATGATGTGTTTTGGGCAATCGACAATATTTATTTTAGTAAACATAGCTACATAATGCATGATACTCCTGATGTATCGATTTAACAATAAATCAATATTCTTATAGGAGAAGAAGTTACCCACAACGATCGTGTAGCCTAACGCCTGATAAGGTAAGATGGAGTGGTTTCTAAATTCTTGCTTATCATAAATATTTAAAAGAAAAACCATCTGTGAACAGAAAAGATGTGCAGTTTTAAGAAAAACTTGTTGCTCTTTATCAACGGATAGGTGTATTTCACGATAGTCGTTGTTATCTGTTTTATTTAGTTAAAAATAACGTTAACAAAAGATGCGTATTAGAGATAAAAGTGAGAATATTTAGGACAGTAAAAACTATTTCATACGATAACGTAAACAAGTTTTCTTAATATTACGGGTTTTTATCATTTATTTTTATTCTTCTTGAAATAGAGACGTCTTCTTATAGCATTAGATTTTAAACTCTGATACCAAATTTAATTACAGTGTAAAAAGTACTGAGGGAAATTTTCATTACGCAGAAAGTTGAAAGCAATTTCATAGATTATTTAGATAAAAATACAGAAGTATTTTTTTTTTACATTACTTACTTTCTTAGAAGCGTATTATCCTAACATCTAGTGTGTGTGTGTGTGTGTGTGTGTACTGTACTAGTACTATTTAAACGCATTTAGCTTTTTTTCATAATCTATAATCCATTAAACCATTTTAGGGGTTCTCAAATTTTCTCAACATAAGCTCGCCCCCCCCCCCGAGCATTCAGCATCGTAATTAAGGCCCTCACTTACTGAATATACAGGGTGTGTGAAAAGTCTGGAAAAATAAGTGATTTGAAGATTTTCGTAATTTCAGATAAGCAACTGATTATATAATGCACTGTCAGAAAAGATCGAGTTAATCCTGCTGTGTAGCAGTGAAGGTCGAGTTAATCCTGCTGTGTACCAGAGAAGGTGAAGTTAATCCTGCTGTGTAGCAGTGAAGGTCGAGTTAATCCTCCTGTGTAGCAGAGAAGGTCGAGTTAATCCTGCTGTGTAGCAGAGAAGGTTGAGTTAATCCTGCTGTGTAGCAGAGAAGGTTGAGTTAATCCTGCTGTGTAGCAGAGAAGGTTGCTGCCGAATGTAATGCACGCCATCCAGAGAGAGAGAAAAAAACATCATTTAAAATTATGTTGTGAAATTGCTAGCTAAATTTATGAAAACCGGTAGTGTCGAACCATTACAAATGATACGAATATAAAAACGGTAGTGTCGAACCATTACAAATGATACGAATATAAAAACCGGTAGTGTCGAACCATTACCAATGATACGAATATATACTTCGCAGTGTTAAAAAAAAATCACAATACCGTCTCCAAACTTGTTCTGAATTACAAGGACTGCATGTGGAACACATTCAGTAAAATTAGTTGAAGTGCCTATGGTTCCAGATTTTTCGGACATCCTGTATATATACTGAGTACCATAACAGTATTGTGTATTTACAAGTCTTTCCCTCCAACTCTTTCTTGCGGCCCTTAATTTGGGAACCTCTGATCTATGATATATCTGTGTTGAACCAGTCATTATATACCTTAGTAAACCCCAAGTTTATTCCACAATTCCTTAGAAACCCATCAGGTTTGCTGTAAGGTCTCTGGGATGGGTGGAGATAGCAGAGGAAGATCTGACACCCGAGAAAAGCAGCAAGGCTGTCAACAAATGTATCGTGGATCTTAGTCTTGGAAGGAATGATATCTTGGACGTCGTAGGACGCTGGGGAGACGTAAATATTACATTAGCTGTATTTATGTTGTACACAAACATTTATACAACTTAGTATTCGGAGAGAGTGGCTCCCCCTCCCCCTCTCTCTTGTTGTTGGAAAAACACACATTTATCCTCACGAGACTTTAGCTTATCAGTGTCTTTTTTTATCAAATAATATGAAAATTATAAAACACTTTTAACATAAAAAAGGGTCTTAGTGTACGTCCTTTAATGCTTTATGGAAACATATTTAAATTTTCTTCATATTAAAAACCACTTATGAAATAAATGACTGTCATTTTCATGCTAATAAAATATACAAAAAGCAGTTTAACAAATTACAATTTTTGATACGTTGCATTTCCCTCACTTTACTAACTGAAAGCCCCAGATTTATCGCCGAGCTACCGGGGGGGGGGAAATAACGCTAAAAATTGAGTTTCGATACCCACAGTCGGCAGATCACAAATAGCCCATTGTGTAGCTTTACTCTTAACAAGAGTCAAAGTAACTAACTTACATGTAGTACTGGACACCAAATTAAACCCCGTATATTTTTATGAATACTTTTCCTTTACATACAAAAATTAACAATTTTTCACGAACATGCTACACCAACAAGCTTGTACGGTTGGATTATTAGATAAAAGTACCGACAGTTTCATCAAGAAATAAGAGCAAAAAACACCATAGATGAGAGTCTTAGAAAAACAAAGAACCAAAATACGTTATTTGTGAATTTTGTATTCAAATCTTGTAGACTAAGATAATAATTGCCTTATATGTTCCAGTAAGTCACATATTTATGAGGAAGATGTAGAGAATTGATAGCCCAAGTCTATCATTATGTCACAAGACTGGCTTTAAGGCCCCTTCCTGACTAGATGTATATCAATTGTTTCAGGGTAAGGACTTGTACATGGATCTGGACGACTACTGCCTTCGTTTAATCAATCCTCAGGACCTAACAGTTCTAAACACCCAGCCAATCCACACTATACGTGTGTGGGGAGTTGGGAGGGACAACGGCAGGTTTGTAAAATACATTCAATATGCTTTAAAAACGCTGCTTTTTTATGAACTTTTTTAAAATCAAATGTCAAGTATGGAGTAACTAATCAGAAACTGTCATACAAGTTCTTTGTTACCTACCAGATAAAACCTACGTTCAAAGTACAGACAATTGCAAGGCATTATATATATATCGAGAGAAATTATAAAAATCACATTTTAATCTATAAAGCTTGGATTTTCTAGTAGTACATACATTATCACAAACACATAAAAACAGAATTAAACCCGCACAAAATATACTTTTAAAGGATGAAGTCCATAAAATACTAACTTTTTTTTTTAACTATTAGCACTTCTTCCAAGTGTTTCAGAGGCGGACTTGAGGGTTCACAGCTCTAAAATTCGGTGCACGATTTCTGCAGTGGACACAATGCAGATAGTCAATTATACAGCATTGCGCTTAAACAACCTCTTAATAGTTGTTTTTTTTTACTAAAATCATATTTACCTTTTTAATAAATCTCGCGTTACAGAGAATGGAAAAGAATTTATTTTCGTGCTTTGATTTACAATTGAAACAAACTTAGCTAAATATTTAATCGTTCACTGTTGTACATATTTACTTACTAGGCAAAAATGTTATTTATTTTTTATCTCAAAACTGCGTAAAAAATGGCTTTTTGAACTCGCTTCTCACTATCAAATCGGCCCGGCATGGCCAGGTGGTTAGGGCACTC